ATAGACTCGGGGCTATCCTTAGGCTGAACCATTGTTGGGACAGAGTGAGACTGTGAGAAAGTGGTGCTTTGTAAATCAGAGTTGTCACTTGGGGAAGTGAGAACAGGAGATACAAATGAGGAAGGCAGAAACGAGGAACAAGTTTCTTGAGGCTCTAGTGGATAAGGTTCTAACATAGAGCAGTTAGGCTACTGTTGAAAACCATGCTTGAAGGGGAACTCATCTTCACAAAATCTAACTTGCTTGAATATATAAACTCTACCGGATGAAGACATGCATTTATACCCTTTATGAGTTAAGTTATAGCCAAGGAAAACACATTTTTCAGTGTGAAAAGAGAGCTTGTGCTTGTGATAGGGTCTAAGATAGGGAAAACAACTATACCCAAATACCCTTAACTCATTATATTGAGGTTCTTGATTAAACAACAGCTGAAAAGGAGAGGAGTTTTCTAAGACAGAAGAAGACGGTCTATTGAGTAAGTAGGTTCATGTCATGAAGGTTGACCACCAAAACTTCAAAGGCATAGATGCATGAACTAATAGAGAGACCAAATTCAGTAATGGACCTATGCCCCCTCTTTACTCTACCATTTTGTTGATATAGGTAGGGGCAAGGATACCTAAACATGATTCCATGCTCTTGTAGGTACTTGGAGAAAGCTCTAAACTCTCCTCCTCAGTTTGCAAACACTTAAGATGAGTACTCAACTGATTTTCTACAAACTTATGAAATTGGACAAACACTCCATATGCTTCATATTTCAATTTCAGAAGGTATATCCATGTGTATCGGCTATAATCATCAACAAAAATAATGTAGTATTTGAACCCTTCAGTGGACAATACAGGGGTGGGACCCCACAAATCAGAGTAAACCAAGTCCAAAGGGGCTTATTGTCTTGAATTAGAAGAAGGAAAACTACATTACGACAATTTGCCATAGGCACAGGCTTCACATACAAAATTTTTATTAACATCAGTAGTAAATCTCACATTCAGCTTATTTAGTACATAATGAAGTGCTTTAGTACTAGGGTCTCCTAGTCTAGCATGCCAAAGTGAGGGAGTACTCAGTAGTGCAGATGTTGTTTTACAAACAGAAACATTATTGCAAATAGTTTTCTTCAAGCATTGTGAATCATCTAAAGACTTATTAGACACTCTATATGAATAACTTGAAAAGGTCACTGGTGATGAGTGAAGTGATGCAGAATTATCTGAAGCAGCAGTAGAGTTAACTGAAGTAACTGTAGAAGAAGTAGCAGCCAATGGAAGATCCAGCCGATAAAGACCATCCTTGATAGTCCTTTGTAGCAATATAGCTTTGTTGCCTCTATCCTTTACCAAACAATGGTCTGAATAGAATTCAACACTCACAATATTATCTTTTGTGATTTGGGAAATACTTAACAATTTTTTTGCAATCTTAGGCACACAAAGAATATTCCTGAGATGTAAAATCCTATAACAATCAGAGGAAGACAGCATTACCATACCTGTGTGAGTTATTGGCAAGGACTCACTATTCCCAACTTACACCTTAGAACCCTTTGAGTATCTTGATGTCACCAGCATAGTATTTGTGTCTGCAGTCATATGGTTGGAAGCTCCTGAGTCCATGTACCAGGATTGATCCTTCACTATTTACGGTGTAGCAAGTGTTTGAAAAGCATATCATGTGGGCAAGATAGTATCTAGTTTGGTGGAAGGACCAGAAGTGCTCTATGAAAGTTAAGGGGAAGCTTGCATGGTGAAGGCTGGACCAGAAGCAAGTTGGTGCATTGCTGGAGCTCTAGTAGTTGAGTAATCATGAAACTGTTCAGCATGATTATTGTAGTACTGGAAGTACAGTAGTTCCAGCATACATGGCTTGAAGAGTCTCATTTGGAGAGGTTGAATAAGCATGTTTTACAGTGGGCAAAACATGTTGATTTGCTCCAGTATGATTGACATAGGATTGGTGCCCTGGATTTCCATAATTTGCAGCTACAAAACCTTGATAGTCTTGATCGAATCTGTGATAAAAATGAAAAGTTGAATGGCTTGGTTTTCCGCAAACTTAGCACATCAGTCTTAACTTAGAGTAGCCTCTTCCTCTACCTCTGCCTTTGTTAAAAAGAGAAAAACCACCAGCAAATATTTGTGAATTCACAGGATATGAATTATTTCTCATGTCTCCAGATTGTCCTATAAACATAGGTGCTTCCCCATAATGAGGAATGCCTGAGTTTCCCAAAATCATATTCTGAGTTTGCTGAGGTTGTTGAAACATATTACTTAATTCTTGAAAATTCGCTAGTGGTAGACCTTGCTGTGACGGTATTCCAGATGAAACACGTGACAGAGATACAATTCCTTCAGAAGTGTTAGTCTTAGCCGCCATTAATGCAAAAGATATATGCTCATGAAAGGTCAATAATGCACTGTTCTGTCTCTCTAACCTCAATTCATGTTTCTGTAACAAGAGTAGAGCTTCCTGAAAGGTAATTTGACTCACAGTTGAAGTAAGGTTAGCTACTGCAGCATTGTATTCAGATCCCAAGCCATCCAGAATGTGTACATTAACAATTCTTCATCTTTTATGTGTACACCACTAGCATTAAGTTCATCCGCAAATTCTTTCATACGTAACACATAGTCATTCATACTTTTAGACTCTTTTTTTGTTGTATTCAACATTATTCATAGGTACAGAGTTCTTACTTTAGAAAAAGATTGAAAGTGTAATTTAAGTGTGCTCCATATCTCATAGGCACTACTACATTTAGACACATGCCTGAACATTGACTCTAAGATTGACAAAAACAACCAACTAACCAAGAATTGGTTTGTCTTCTTCCAGCTTAGATACTTAGGGTTTGGACATTTAATCAACTTCTCACTCTCATCTACTTTCTCCATTACAAACATATGAGGACAAGAGTTTGTACCTGTGATGTAGCCATCCAATTCGTGAGAAGCTAATGCTGGTAAGACTTGTGAGAGCTAGTAATTGTAGTTTCTTTCAATCAATTTCATTTTCAAATTCAGAAGGCTTAAGTGAGTTGTAGGGTTTTGAGCATTTGCACTGTTTGATTATTCAGCATCCATTGTAGAATCACTTGATTGTAGAGCTTTGTTTGATTAAGAGGATTGATTTGAAGATCTGCCTTTGACGCTGGTCTAGGGCTCTGATACCATGAAAAGATTCTACTAAAATCTAAGAAGAAAAATCACACACGCAAGAGAAGGAAGAAGTTAGTTATACGAGCTGAAAAATTTTAAAAGAGTAGTTTTTGTTTCATTAATTGAGCTCTCACAAAGAAGAAGCTCTTTTATACTGATGATACAGCACTAAAAACGCAGCGTATAAGCTTGCTAATTACTTACTAATTTCCAAACAGTCCTAGTTATTTTAATTGTCACAAAAATGACCCCAGTTCTTTGTCTCTTTATCTCAATAGACTCACAAATGTTTCTCTCTAAAAATGCATCATTTGATACTGATATTACTTAAAATTCAAAACCCAGAAATTTAATTTCATCTTCTATTTACATTAAGGTAAAAATTTCTCAGATAAAGTGAAAGTACAAAGAGAAAATACTGTCTACTATCTAGCAAAAAGACTTAAAATTCTAGAGCAAAAACTAAGGACCGGACCGACCTATGCTCTGACTAAGATGAGACTTTTTTGAAGGTAAGGGATCGTTTTCTCATATTAATGCGTCCCAAAGTTGTCTCTAAATGTAGAGTTTTACCCAAACCCATGACAAATGATCTATACAAATGTGCAAACCTAACCTAATCTTCGTCTGGTAGTATATAATATTGTTATCATAGATATGCAATGATATAATAATTAAACACAGTACTTTACTAAGTACTTAACAAAGCCTAAAAAATATCTTTATTTCATCACTAAATTCAGGCACATTCTTCCTACATTGCATTAGATAACTTATCTAGTAAATTTTACAATCTTGTTTTTGTTATTGGATCAACAGTAAACACAACTCTAATCAGCTTAGGGAACTCCAAGATGCTGACTCCTCCACTGAACTACATATATATAAGGGGAGGTTATTCTTATCATGTTAGGAATAATTGTATTCCTATGCATCGTTCTTTGAATATTGATATTTTCTAAAGAGTGATCAAATTTACTAAGAAACCATCAAATAAAACGAATCAAAATTTTCAAAATCTCAACCGAAATAAGGAGAGATCAAATTTGACATTAACAAGAGTCTAATTCAAGGACCCAGACCTTCCCATTGGAATCTCTATCCCAGCCCAACTTTATGTTGAATTTGCCATAACATTGCATGCCTTTAATAAGCCTGACCCATCTTGGACCCAATTTCAGTAGTCGCATAAGGCCTTCCAGAAGCTAACTACAACAAGCTCTTCCAATTCACAAAATTGGTCATTCCCATCTTCTGCTCAATCCATGCCTAAATATACAGCCGTTTGCAAAATGTTTCATGCACTTTATAATACTTTATTCAATATGTGGGATTCTGCAGATTGCCATCTCCACAAACTTACTAAATTTAATCGTTAAGGAGAAGAGGATTATTGAAGAAAACGAAAGAACAATTAGTGTGGCTCGTTTGAAACAACCAAAAGTTTAATATTTAGAAGAATATGATGCTGTTTTCTCTTCAGATTAATCTTGCATGAGGCATTGGCTATGCCACTTTCTTACATACATAATTGAACTTGACAGGTCTACAATTGAATGTTTGCACAAGAAAATAACTGTAGAATTATGATATGGTTTTGTGCTTTTAAGGTTTTTCTATCTGTTTATTATAAAAACTGAACTTATTTGGTTTTCTAACTTATATATATATAAAGTGGTTGCAGGTTATTTGCAGCTTTCAGCTTGTAATCAAACCGCAAGCTGAAAGCTGCAAATAAGCTGCAACCTTTTTTTCTTAAGTATGCATCATTTGATACTGATACTTTTTAAAAGTTACTGAAAACCCAGAAATTTAATATGATCGTGCCGTTACATTAAGGCAAAATTTCATTGAACAAAGTACAATGAGAAAATCCTCTCTAGCAAAATAACTTCAAACTCCATAGAGAACCCCTAACACTTAAGAAATTCCAAAACTAAGGAAAGGACAGTCCTGTGCTCCGGCTGAGATGAGACTTTTTCGAAGGTGGCAATGAATCATCTCCACTTGATCGTCCCCATATATCGTTTCTGCGTTTTCCTGTTGCTCTTACTTCAGGTGTTTTTGGCTCAACTTTTTGTGGTTCACATTTGTTAGCTGATTTCACTTCAGGGGATATCAGCTGCTGAGCTATTTTTTTTTTTTTTCCATCTTCTTCTTCGTTAGAAGGACAAACTTCCTTTAAACGAGTAACTACATTGCTCAATTCCTTCAATGCCGAATCAACAACTGCTTTAAGCTTCTTAATTTCCTCATTTCTCCGAGCCAGTTGATCCCTCAGTATATTTCTTTCCGCCACTACTTGCTCATGCTCTGTTAAATAAAACAATTGTACTTAAAACTAAAGCCTTTTTATTTCAATTAATAATTTTAAAAAAAAAAAAAGCCATTAACTTTACAAAATATTTCCCTCAGAAAAACGCATCCTCCATTTTGATAACTGAATTGAAGAGCAAAATTCAAGTTTTAATCCAAAAGCAGAAAATTTTAACTAATTCTAAATGAAAAGCAGTTCAACAAATGTTCCAATTGTGATTCTGACCTTCAACGCCGACGTCTCGAGCCTCGAACAGTGTTTCCTCACCGTGACGAAGACTGAAGCTTGAAATCGGTGTTAGACTCAGTGAACAGCATCGGTGAGTGGGTCTGAGATTTTGTCGCTTGAACGCCGTTGATCTGCGGAGAGCAGGGGTCGAAGAAGAGGGTGTGCGAAGAGCGGTGGAGAAGTTGACGGCGTTGGTCATGGGAGCAGAGGATGAAAGCTCAAATGTAGATGTGAAGAGAAGTTGTGATCATGTGTAGTGCTAGGGGTGAGCACGGGTAGCGGTAGAACCGAAACTTGCATGTAGAATCAAAACTGAAATCAAAACCTACCTAAAATTAACACTGTATAGGTAGGTTCCAGTTCCCTTTTTTTTAAACCGACACTGTATGGTTTTGATTCCGATTCCTATATATGGAGGAATCGAAACCTATAAAAAAAAACCTGTAATGGGTACCTGACTTAGAACCTACAGGCTACAGCAAGTACTATGTTTTGAAACATGGGTTGAAATAAAATATCTGTGAAGAATTATTGTAATTTTACATATAAAAAGTTAAAATGAAAAAAATTAAATTTTTACGATAACCTAATTAAATAAATATATAATTATATTTATTACATATAAACTATACCATATAAAAAAACTTTAATATATTAATATTAAAGTTTTGATTAATTAAGTGTATAATTGAAATTAAAACCAATTAAAAGTATGTTAATGTTATTAAAAGAACTATTTTTGAATATAATAGTATATTTGATTGAATAATAATATAATATTTAATTATTTACTTCTATTATCAAGTTTTAAGTATATCTGTAATAAATTAGTAATTAATTAATTATATAAAATAAATTAATAAACAATAATACAACTACTAGTTAAATGATTACTTAATCAATTATAACATTATATTATAATTAAATGATTACTTAATTAATTATAACATTTCGTTATAAACATTAATACAATACTTAATTAAACGATTAAAAATTTAATTAATCGTAATATTACATTAAAGATTTATAGTATAATTACTTAATTCATTATATCATTACATTATAATATGATCACATAATTAATTATAACATTACATAATGAAATAATTACTTAACTAATTATGACATTATATTATAAATATTAGTAATTTACTACATTAGTACAATACTTAATTAAATGATTAGAAATTTAATTAATTATAACATTACATTATAAATTTATAGTATGATTACTTAATTAATTATATCATTCTATTATAAATATTAGTACAATACTTAATTAAATGATAAGAAATTTAATTAATTATAATATTATATTAAAGATTTATATTATGATTACTTAATTAATTATAACATTACATTATAGTATGATCACATAATTAATTATAACATTACATAATAAAATGATTACTTAATTATTATGACATTATATTATAAACATTAGTAATTTACTATATTAACACAATACCTAATTAAATGATTAGAAATTTAATTAATTATAACATTACATTATAAATTTATAGTATGGTTACTTAATTAATTATAACATTCTATTATAAACATTAGTACAATACTTAATTAAATGATTAGAAATTTAATTAATTAAAACATTACATTATAATTAAATAATCACTTAATTAATAATAACATTACATTCTATTATAATCACTTAATTAATTATAAACATAGTTAAATGATTACTTAATTAATTATAAATTTATAACATTATTTTATAAACATTAGTAATTTACTATTAATACATTACTTTATTAAATTATGTTTAATTAATTAAATGATTAGTAATTATAATATTTCATTATAAACATTAGTACAATACTTAATTAAACGATTAAAAATTTAATTAATTATAATATTATATTAAAGATTTATAGTATAATTACTTAATTCATTATAACATTTCATTATAATATGATCACAAAATTAATTATAACATTATATAATGAAATAATTATTTAACTAATTATGATATTATATTATATTATAAATATTAGTAATTTACTACATTAGTACAATACTATAGTAATATTACATTATAGTATGATCACATAATGAAACGATTACTTAATTAATTATGACATTATATTATAAACATTAGTAATTTACTACATTAGCACAATACCTAATTAAATGATTAAAAATTTAATTAATTATAGTATTACATTATAAATTTATAATATAATTACTTAATTAATTATAACATTATATTATAAACATTAGTACAATACTTAATTAAATAATTAAAATTTTAATTAATTAAAACATTATATTATAATTAAATAATTACTTAATTAATAATAACATTACATTATATTATAATCACTTAATTAATTATAAACATAGTTAAATGATTACTTAATTAATTATAAATTTATAACATTATATTATAAACATTATTAATTTACTACATCAATACATTACTTAATTAAAAGTTTAATTAATTATAATATTACATTATAGATTTATAGTATGATTACTTAATTAATTATAATATTCCATTATAAACATTATTACAATACTTAATTGAATTATTAGAAATTTAATTAATTATAATATTAAATGATAGATTTATAGTATGATTGTTTAATTAATTTAATTAATTGTTTATGTTTTAGTTTTGATTGAAGAATTTTATATGAATTGTGATGAATCGATTAAATTCAAGCGTTGTGTAGAGATTATAGGACTTATGAGTCACATTGGACACAAATGAATAAGTAATCAAAATTTGTTAGGAGTATATTTGTAAACTTTTAAAGTATTTTTATCATTTTTTAAACTAATAAGGGGTAATTAATTTTTTATAAGGTACACAAGAAAGAAACTAGAACCTATATTTTATATTTCGATTCCTTAAATTTAAGAACTTATATTGTATAGTTCCGATTTCAATTCCTTTTTTTGGAATCTATTCTGTACAATTTCGGTTTTGATTTCCCTAAAAAATGCAGGATACCAGAACTGCGGTTTGGAGAGTCAAAAGTTATGAGTCGGTCAGAGACAGTGTTTCCATATTTGTACGGTGTTGACTGTCGACAATTGAAGAAGACAAGCATAGCATCTGAGTCAAAAGTTACATGGATATTTTATTGTTTTAGAAACAGAGAGAGAAAAAGGTCCACCGTAGAAGAAAAAAAAAAATTCTTTTGGGCAAGTTTCAGTGGTACAGATGTAATATACTGAAAACGGAGGGTTAATCAGTAAAGGTCGTTCCTGTTCTTTCTGTGAATAGCTACTGTGTAGTTCTTGGTGTTGGTTTCAACATAGAGAGAGCTGCTACAGAGTAGAGCTGCTGAGACTTCTGTTTGAGGTGGTAATGGTGTGCCATTGTTCTTCTCTCTGCCGCTACTATACTTCACTCTTTTTCAGCTTTCAACCTCGTTATTCTCCTGTTTGCTCTTCACTTGAAGCTTTTCTTTCTTCATTTTCCCATTTCGAGCTAGAGATTGCATCTTATGCCGCAAAAAGGTAAGCTTTTTGAAACCAGTTCTTCTTTTTAATGGATATTTTTGTTTTGCTTTTTCAAGTTTCAATTTTTGGTTGTTTTAGGACTGCCATTGTCAATAGCTTTGGGGCATGGCAATACTTATCAGTCTTACGAAGAGGGCAAAAAAGTTATGAACTTTTTTTTTTCATTTTCTGTAGAATTTTCCTTGTAATCCTTAAATTTATGCTAATATTTGTCCAAGCTGAATAAGATGCGGGTTGTTCGTCACGTGTCATATTTTAGAAGCTCTAAAATTACTCTATTTTGACACGTTGGATTGGTATTTATTACTTCATTTATAATTATTAATTAATTAAAAAATTACATTGCATTGGCATTCTAAAGGTCTAACATAATGACATCTTATATTTATAATTGTCATGTGGTTGAATTTTATTGGTGATGATGTAGACAATATTAATTGTTGCATTGGTATTCCAAAGTCTAAATAAATAGACATAAAGATTAGATTACATAAGTGTATTGCATTGATAGTAAAAACATACATGTTTATTAATAATTATATAGGTGCATTGTATTGACATTGCAAACCTTTCTTCGTATTCAATTTGTATTTAATTGTGTTGGCATTCGAAAGGTTTAAATAAGAGGTTATAAAAGAAGCGTATGTTCAACCGCGTATTATCGCAATATGTTAGTTGGTGTCAACAATACGTCTGGTCTTTTGTTAATATTTATAGGTTATGTTAGTTGGTGTCAATAATACGTCTGGTCTTTTGTTAATTGTTTATATGTTATGTTAGTTTGTGTCAATAACACGTCAATTCTTCATGATTTTATTAATCGATGATTTTTTATTTATTTATGTTTTTGTTGTTGTTTACAGGTCAAAGATTCACGAATTAACATGGAATAAAGGCAGGATGTCTGATTGACATTGTCAAATGAGTTGTTATTTTGATTCGTTCTTCTGAACTGTAAGCATATCTTCTAACTATTTTAATACGAAATTGTAAGTATATCTCCTAACTATTTTAATGGTTATTATTTGATTGAATGATTGTTTTTGTTCGGTCAATCTATTTGAATGATTAATTGTGTTAGTCCTGCTGAACGGTAAGTGTATTCCTTAACAATTTTAATATGAAGATTAATTAACTTTTGTTGATTTCGTTTTCAGGTAACAGTTGTTATACGAATGAATAATTTTTCCTTAACAAATCTTAACATGAAGATCGATTAAATTTTGTTATGTTTGTTTTTAAGGAAATGTTCATGTACTTTACTAAAATCAAATCAAGGATGATCTTATTGTCAGCCGAACTATGAGTATGTGTCATATATATATTACTAGAAACAGTTCAATTGTGTTGAATATGTTTTCTGTAAAAACATTCGTGTATTTTAATTTGTTATATGAATGATTAATTGTTTATGTCATGTTGATGTGTGAGTATATATGTTATATGAATTAATTTTGGCTGATTCTATTTTCCAATTAATAGGTGTTATTTGAAATATTTCTTATCAGTCCTAATATGATAATCCCTTAAATTTGGGTTAAGTAAACCATTCATTTTATCATCACACGCATTTTGGTTTTCACTAAATAATCAATAGTAAATTGACCATAACTTGCACAATAAAAATCCAATTTATGAGTGGATTGAATCTTTAGAGACTAGACAGACAGGAATTTAATTTGATATATTATACGCTTAATTTGGATAACTGTAGGCCCCACAGCCGAACCATTCCTTTCATCATCACACACATTTTGGCTTCTAC